AGCACCCTGTAATTATTGTCTAATCTCTCCTTTAGTTCTTTAATGACGTTATCCTTTTCAAGTAAGGACAGATAATGGTTATGATCCGAGCAAGGGAGATTAGAAGTACTTACAGTGCTAGTGGAGCATTCATTCCCGGGGATCGCAGCATCACCCTTTCTATCTTCTTCATCTTCCAACCGTGCCATCAGTGCATAGTTTTCTTCTTCCTCCTCCTCCTCCTCCTCCTCCTCCTCCTCATCAGAAGTATCTTCAGCCCAATGATCCTTTTCGGCAAGCATTGCAGAATTTTCTTCTTCCTTCTGCACCATGAGCATCTTTTGCTTATTCCACAACATCTTCTGTTTGTAAAAGTTTGCATCCTTCTTCTTTGGCAGACGACAGTCTTTGATGACATGTCCAGCCTTCCCACAATTATAGCATTTTGGAGCATCTTCAGCAGCAGGTGTCCTCCCAGAAGAGCTTTGATCATGATGCTTCTATTTATAGTTTCTTGAGGAGGTTCTTATCTTGTTTGAGGAGCTATTCTTCTTTGCAAATTACCTGGTCAGCAATGCCATCTTCTTTTGAAGGTCAACAAGTTCAGCCTCGAGGTCAGGCTCTTCTTCATCACTTTCATCATCTTCTGACTCAAACACCACTTTCTTCTTCTTCTTCAGTGGTTTGGTTGTTCTTCGAGGCTGTGCTTCCATCATTAAAGCTAATGGGTTTGTGCTACATTGATCCTCAGTGCAAGCAACATCATTGACAAAGTGCTTCAAGTGTTCATGAAGGATGCATAGATCAATTTCATCAAGGTCAATGTGCTGCCTCACCTCCTTTACAGTCTTTCTCCATTCGGGGTGCAAACTGGACAGAAATCTTATATTCAATTCCATATTGGACTTGAATACTTTGATCTTCCTCAATTCATTAATCAGTTGGACAAATCTGTTATATGTCTCGTTCAGTGGTTCTCCAGGGGCAGCTTTGAAAGAGTCATAAGCAATCAGTGTGGTTGCTTTCTTGGTCTTCAAACTGATGTTGGTGCCTTGGAGCAACTTTTCAATCTCGTCCCACATTTCCTTTGCTGTTTGCATGTTGTCAATCAACACATAAACTTCATTTGGGATGGCTTGGAGCAGATATGTTTTTCCATGAGGTTACCTCTCAGCCTTAACTTGTCTGCTTCAGTATATTCTGATGGTACTTTCCGCCTCCTTTCAGGAATGATAGGTGGGTTATTTTCTGCATCTCCTCCAACTGAAATCATTAGTTCAGCGGGTCCATCAAGAAGGGATTCAAGCATTGCAGCGTAATTGTCCTTGTGTTCGAGGAAATTTAAGAATCGATTTCTCCACATTTGATATTCTCCTCTCCTTAGAACTGGAGGAGTGCTGCTGTTTCCTTGTGCATTAGATTCTAAAGCCATTGCTGTAGAAAACTGACCGTTCGAGATTTTGATCAGATAAATTTCAAAGGTAGAACCTCGAGATCCTGAATGTTGAAGGGCTAAACTCGAGGTCTGAGAAACTCGAGGTGAGAACTAGAGTTTATAAACTCGAGTTAAGGGTTTCGAGTTTTCACAAATCGAGATGTAAAACTCGCAATGTCAAAACTCGAGGTTGAACTTGCGAGTTTTGAAGTGCGAGTTTACAGTGCGAGTTTGTGTCTCAAGTTCTTAACTCGAGAGTTAAAATTTCGAGTTCTAAACTCGAGTTTGCAGTTGCGAGTTTAGACGTTCAACACCCTGAGTTGCGAGTTCCAGACAAAATCAAATTTCAGATTTTTTTCTTGTGAAAACAGATTTTTTTGTAGCCCTTGATGTCGAGTTCCTGCAGCCCAAGTTTCAGGTCAGAAAGCTGAACGGAGCTTTGAGAAAGATGGGTTGCGAGTTCCTGCTTGCGAGTTTACAGAGAGAAAAAAATTGCGGAAATGCAGAAAGAAGATATACTGCTTGATCGTCTCTGAGATGCGATTCTAACAGTATAACTTTTACAACTTTTAATGCAAAAACAAGATTACAGATGATAAACTCGCTAGCCACAGATGAACGAAATAAAAGCAGAGTATTTTGCAGGTCGTTCTTCTGATCAGCTCTCGATCGGCTCTGATACCATTTGTTAGTCCCTGTTTTCTATAACAGCAATATAAAATGATATATCAAGGAGTAAAGCAACAGAAAGATGAACACAGATGATCGATGAAATCCCTCTTTGATATGCCATGAACTCGTACATAGAATGATATGCGCTAAGGCTAATTTGATCGAGTACGAAAGTTAACGCAAACCTAAACCTAAAATGCCTTTTTATATGCGTAGGTTAAAGGTTTGCGTAAAGGCTTTCAGCCTGATATGGGCCTGACACATTGGTCCCATATCTTTTATACCCAAATAAATACAAACATTAATAACAAATGATATAATCAGTGCTAAGCTATTACAAGACATATGACAAGCTTGATTCACAATAAAATGATCTTCAACAGTATGTACCTCCAAATGAGAAATGACCACAATCACTTTCTTTTTTTGAAAAAGGAGACTGATAATTGTAAAAATAACCTTGGTGCGTGTAATCCTCAAATGTAATTCATCTATGTGTATCTTGGATGGGAGGAATCAATGGTAGATAGTAGAGTTTTGAGAGATGCCCTTATAAGAAGATTTTTAGTTCCACGAGGTGTGTACATGTGTGAATTAACATTAGCAAAAGGTATGTAATGATGACCGTATGTTACTATTTGCATGGTGGAGGTTATATGAAAATTGTGAATATTTTCTTGCACCTTATAGAGGTAAGAGATACCATTTATCTGAATTGGAGATCAATCATAATCCTCATCATGCGAAAGATATTTTAATATGAAGCATTCCAAGTTAGGAATATCATTGAACCTGCATTTGGATTTCTTAAGAATTGATAGACAATCTTACGAAGTGACTCATGTTATTCTATACCAATGACATGCTGCAAATAATAGTGACATGTGCATTATTGCTACATAACTTCATTCTGCGTGAGCATGATGTGGATTCTATGGAGCATGATAAAATTGAAGAAGAACCTGAAGAAATTCACACATAGAAACTCATTGAACATATGTCTTCATATGTGGGTGTGAATGGCGCTTGAAATCAACTTGGTGTTTTAGAGGGAAGAGGAAGAGAGAATACTACACTCTAGATATATGCAAGGTGAAAGATCGAGAAAACTCAATAGATAGGTAGGATAGACATAAAGGAACCTATGAAATAACACTTCTATAACATTAGAAGTTGAGAGTAGCGAGTAGGGTTGATCTTAGAGGGCGGAAGAAATTGAAAAAAACTAGATTTATGGAAAAAAAGTTTCATTTTTTTAGGAAAAAACTAATTATCCTTTTAGATCATCGGTTAATTTAAATAGCTTTTACCCTAAATAAGATCAAATGTTAACCTACTTGTACAAGCAAGACTAAATCCTACATCTTTCACAAATAAGATCAAACATTAATTTTCTACTTCTAATACTCCTAATCTAATTAATGAATGAAATAATAGACAAAAATAATCCCAACTATTAGTGATCTGCTTGAAATAACACAAAATATCAGTTATATCACAATAATCCCAACTATTAAAAAATTCTCAAAATGCCCTAGGGCAGCCCGAAGCAATTGACCCCCTAGTTCTCTTAGACAACTGGGGACGGCCCGGGGTGCAAGGCAGTCCGTAGGGGCGACGGTTGTGGCAGGCGGGTTGGGGAAAAATCTGGATTATTTTTTGCTCAGTTGGAGCTTTGCGGAGGTCGCAACAACTAGCAGCGACAGCAACCGAAGAACGGTGGCCGAAATCAAGGCGGCAGCAAGCAGTGTCAAATTGATAAATTTTGAAGAAATATAGATAATTTTTTTTTTGAAAAAAACAATGTCAAAGTCGGTATATTTAAAATTTTAAATTTATTTTATATTCTACATCTATTTAAAATGTTTTTACATTTTATATTTTCTATTTTTACATATTCACTTTATTTTTTTGAGTGTTCTAATTTTTTATTTTAACATTTTTGAATTATTTATCTTTTTTACATTTATGCTATTTTTATATTATTATTACATTATTTTTTAAATTTATATGAATTTTTAAAATATTTATCAATACTATTATGGATTTATCTTTAAAAATAACCTGCTATAAGCAACAGATTAAAATTACTTGGACTGTAATTTGCTGGTCTGGTCTGGTCTGGTCTGTTTTGGTCTGGTCTGGTCTGGTCTGTTAGGGTCTGGTCTGGTCTGGTCTGATCTGGTCTGATCTGATCTTGTCTCGTCTGAAATTTTATTTTTATATTTTCTGCATAAAGATTTTGTTTTTTTATATATTATAATCCATAAATAATTATATTTTATTCATTTATAATTACAAATAATAATAACAATAACACTAACAACAACAACAACAACAACAACAATAATAATAATAATAATAATAATAATAATAATAATAATAATAATAATAATAATAATTAGGGGTGTGCACTATCCGGTTTAAACCACAAAACCGGATCGAACCGGACCGGAAAAATTGGAGCTGGATCGAACCGGAATGATATCTGGTCCGGTTCGGTACGGTCCAGTCCGGTTTTGAACCGGTGCGCACCCCTAATAATAATAATAATAATAATAATAATAATAATTAGGGTGTGCACTATCCGGTTTAAACCGGAAAACCGGACCGAACCGGATCGGAAAAACCGGAACCGGATCGAACCAGAATCATATCCGGTCCGGTTCGGTACGGTCCGGTCCAGTTTTGAACCGGTGCACACCCCTAATAATAATAATAATAATAATAATAATAATAATAATAATAATAATAACAATAATAATAATAATGAAATCTGGTCTGGTTTGGTCTGGTCTGTTTTATTTTGGTCTGGGCTGGTCTGTTTTAGTCTGGTCTGGTCTGATCTGGTCTGGTTTGGGACGAATTATAGTTAAAAAAACAAGATAAGCTACGGATTTGAAACAGTAGAACTGGATTTCCCCTTGAATCCAGTTTAAAATAACCAATATATTCGACTCTTTGACATATTCGTCCGAAGAAATGGAGATGCCACTTCCCATAACCGCAAGTATCCACCTAGCTGCGCCCCTCTCCTGCAGAACTTCCCTTATCAATTTCCGCTTGCTCAACTACCATAACTGTTGGGCGAGGCTTAGGCGCAATCATACGTATGTTCGAGTTAACCCGAGTTCAGATGTTTGCCATAAGAGCGCTGATCACGAATTTAGCGTTGCGGCTTCCGCTAACAATGATTGCCAGGACGCTGCGTTGACCGGAGAAGAAATGGGGAATATGCTTCATCGGAGTATTTGGGAAGAGACGGATTTCGTTGAGGTGTTTGGAATAGGGAGTCGAAAAGACACCATTATTGACTTCTGCTTGTCATCTTCTTCATGTTCACCGGTTTTGAGATTTTGGTATGCTACAGGCCTACAATTCACACTTTCCTTGGATTTCCCTTTAAATGTTACTTTAATGTGAACTTACTTCGGGGGGAAATCAACACCTTAATGATAATGAAACAATAACTACGGACATACACCACAGTTTGAGTTGAACAGAAAACATGCACGCAAACGAAGTATGCATACCTTCAATTGCTAGAAGGCCCTGAATGTTTAAAATGTTTGTCAACAATATTTGGAATATGAAAGTTTGAGGTTTCACTGTGAAAATTGAATTAATAAGTTGGGCTATTCTGATTTTATAAGATTTCTGCATTTCTAGTGGAAATTTTTATATGATATGCACCACTTTTATTTTTACTTTCTCTGACTCTTCCTTTCACAACGTTTATGAATGAAATTGTAGGTGAAGAGAATAGCATAACAAACTGAAAAAGTAGGAGAGAAGATAAAAAATTAGAATAAATGGGAAATAGAAGATTAAAGTAAGAACATTTATGTGTTTTGATACATTTGTAATTGCCACAAAGGGAAAGTGGAGCAAACAATAAAGTATTTTCATAAAAGAAAAGTTGAGCAAGTAAAAATCAACAGAGGGAGTATGAATTATTTCTAATTCTTTTACTTTTCATCTTTAATTCTTGTTCTGATGTTTTGCAGGAACATTCTTGTCAAAGATTCTGGAAAAGTGTTGTTGCAACAGAGGTGTCCGACAGAAGGTAGAGGCTCGAAAGTCGGATCCTTGATTCTCTCATTGATTCTTTTTTCCCTTTCTTCTTTTTTGCTGATAAGCATTTATTACTTTGTGAGTGGGATATGATGGAGTGAGGGTAGCATGCCAATGAAAGGCTGTAAGACACTTTGAGGAGGAGATGTCTGTTTGGATTTGGCTGTCATCAATTACTTATAACCAACCTATATACTGTAGTCTAGAAGGAAATGTGTAAACCCCTCAAGAAAAACAGCAAAGAAAAAGGACTTCTGGTTCAAGAACATTTTGTCCCAAAAAAGAATCCTATTTTACTAGTCAACTTTCACTTTCAAGTAAAATTCATGTAAAACTAAGTGCCAAGTGGGTTTAGTCAATTACTTTAATGAATCTTGGAATAAATTATAGGGGTATATAAGTGACAATTCATAATTTGTAAAAGCTTGTACCTTGATTGGGTTGATTATAAACAAAAGTTGTACCTTACTCAAACGTGATATCTCCTTGAATGGAGAGAGTAATACAATTGTGTTTGTGTGAGCAGGGTCTGACAATTAAAATTTAAAACGTGGACATGTTGAGAATAGAAAAATAGAAATCAACGGGGTAAACCGTTGCCCAAATAATCAACGATAAAAATACCGTTGCCCAGAGCCAAAAGGCTAAACTCCAATTTTATTCCAAGATAACCAAGAATGAACCCTGACAAGCGGTATAAATAGCCTTCTAAGAGAAACCCTAATCGAGGCTAAATTAATTAAATCCTAATTAAGCCCATACTAACTCTACTAAATACTCTACTAATAATAGGCCCAAACTAAAAACATAACATAAACTTTATAATAATAAATAAAACTATAATCCCAGCCCATAACTAGCCCACGGAAGTGGGCCCATTCCCGTTCCCGCCCCATGCTCTTCTTGCTCTCTATCAATCCATCCTCCTTCGAAATAACCTTGTCCTCAAGGTTGAAATCTCGCAGATCGAGGACTGAAATTTCCACCCATGGAATAGATTGGAAAATATCTTTCATCTCCTTCCCGAACCTTTTCCTGGCCGGTTATTTCACAGTAGTCATGTTGTTGAAGGTCCAACTCCTCATCCTCCTCAGCTATCATTACTCGCAACCCCTTAAAGGGGCAGTCATGCCCTGGTGTAAATGGTTTCTTACACCTAAAACATAATCCTTTCACCCTCAATTCTGCTAACACCTTTGACGGAAGTCGAGTGAATTGAGAGCGTGTCGTAGGCTGCCCGAACAGCCCTGACTTTGTCCCTGGGGGCTGTCCACTATCTTTTGGAAAGCTGACACTCGATCCCTGAAAGCTGACACCACAGACAGTCAACGGAGGACCCTTGTTTGACATTAAAAAGCTGCTGGAACGTACTCCTGAAGGATTATAATTTGGGCTGCCACTTCCTCCACTCTGGACGGACAAATGATGCTCCACATCGCGAGCTAATTCCATGGCTGTCTCCAGGTTATCCGGCCGTAATAAGCGCAACGAGCTTCGAATGTCTTCCTTAAGTCCACTCATGTAGTAGCCCAAATAATGATCGTCGGTCAATTCCGGAACTTGGCTAGCCAGTTGAACAAACAAGGTATCATATTCCTCCACTGACCCAATTTATTTGATGCCAGACAGCCTTTCAAACCTGTTTCCCTGATAACGGGAATCAAATCTGGCCACCAGGGCTTGCTTGAATTCCTCCCAAGACATAACGGGTTTGCGCGCCTTCAACCAAGTCACCCAATAGAGGGCAGCTCCTTCCATAGAAACCATAGCCACTGCCACTTTTCTGTCCGGTGGGGTTCCACTGAGTTCGAACTGTTACTCAACTCTTGCCACAATGCCACCCACCCAATTGGGTCTTCGCCGTCGAACGAGGGGAGCAGGGCGGTTGCTGCACTGCGCAGTCCGCTGTCAACGGAGGATGTAGTTGCGACGTGCGCGGAGGAGACACTTTCAATTGTCGCGGTTGGAGTCTTCTCCGGCGGCATCATGGCCTTCGCGATCGCTGCCAGGGAAGCCGCGATTTCCGCCAGCTGGGCGCCCTATTCTTCCAATTTCTGACCTTGTGCGTCAAGTTTTTGTCCTTGCGTGCCAAGTTTTTGATTGATTAGAGCCTGTTCGGCCTCCAACTCTGACAAACGTTCGCTGGTTGATCTCGTCATTCCGGCAGGTCAGACCAATTGTTGAGAACAGAAAAGTAGAAATCAACGGGGTAAACCGTTGCCCGGAGCCAAAAGGCTAAACTCCAATTTTATTCCAAGATAAGCAAGAATAAACCCTGGCAAGGGGTATAAATAGCCTTCTAAGAGAAACCCTAATCGAGCCCAAATTAATTAAATCCTAATTAAGCCCATACTAAATTACTAACTCTACTAAATACTCTACTAATAATAGACCCAAACTAAAAACATAACATAAACTTTATAATAATAAATAAAACTATAATCCTAGCCCATAACCGGCCCACGGAAGTGAGCCCATTCCCGTTCCCGCCCCATGCTCTTCTTGCTGTCTATCAGTTAATGTCAAATCAGAGGTGTTCTTTATGCTCTACTGTTCTAAATAATCAAAATAAGGGTGCTCATTCTTGAGTTTATATAAGTTGATTCAAAATCATTTGGTAGAATTGTGTAACTGGTAGCATGCAATTGAAGATTATCTTGAGGGCTTCAAGTGTTGACTAATTGTCATTATTTACACATCCACATAACATGCAAATTCTAGAGGAAACTACCGTATCTTTCTAAAATGCATAGTTCTTAGTTGATTCAGATTATATATTCGTATAGGTCTTTAAGTATCAACTATCAAGTTTTGAACACTTAGTTGCTAGGCTTGCTCAGAAATCAAGGACCGCGAGGTATATTGAATACAGTGCGGTAAGCTAATCGTACCAAGATTTTGATTTTGAAATCTACTATTGGAGCACTCAATGAATATGAGTTATACTCTTTAAAAGGTCTAATAAAAGATACTACCTCCTTTCTCTTTTAATTGCAACATTGGACTTTTTACACTATTCACATATTCTATTCTGACTGTATTTTATTTATTAATGTGTTATAAATTAAATTATTTATAAATAATTCTAAATTTCTCTCATTTTAAATTTTCAAAATCTGATTTTTTTTTTACTAATAAAGAATGAAAGATATTAATGGTCAAACTTGTGCATCATTGGCACACGTGAAAAGTGGACTGTTGCAGTTAAAAAAGAACGGAGGAAGTATACAACTGGAGCCTTCTACTAATCTGGATTTTATCAGTTGATCTTTTATGAGCTTTTCTCATCAAGAGTATATCTACTGCAGCATCTAATCCTTTTTATCACTTTCAAAGAGGTTGATGTATACACTATCGAGATAAATTATTAAGCTATGATAATAATGCATGCACTTTCAAGATAGATCACTGAGCTTAGATAATAATATATGCTTCCAAGAAAGGCCACCAAGCTAAGTACGATAAACCATTGTCTCATTTTTTGCAGATGTTATAGCAGAAGTTGTGGAAGTGCCATCATCATTGAGTTTGTGCTCTAAAGCAATTATACTTGTTTGTACAATCATAAACTCTTTTATATATCGATTCATGTTAGCCAATTTCATATACCAGTTTCATACTTGTTTGGCTTCGATTTCATATATGGGATTCATGTTAGCTGACCCCAAATTCTTTTGGGACAAAGGCTTGGATGTTGTTGTACAATCAAAAGTTCCAGCACTTGTAAATTTAGACTTTTTCTTTCTTAAAGTTTTAGTTTTTCAGACTATTATGTGACAACTGACAAGTTAATATTTCTAGTATCTAATGTTCTGGTGGTGTGGCTTAGTAATGCAAATCAGATTCTCGTATTGCATCTAACGTTAAACTTAAGTAGAGATAGAAGAGTCCTTTTATATGATTTTTAATATGTGTGCACTCATGTAAATCAACAGCTATTTTGGTACGGTAGATTGGAGAAGTAGTTTTCTGTCTCTTCCGTAAATTGTTTCATTTGTCTTTGTTCCTTGACATCTCATAAGTAGTTCCAATAATTCTCTTGTAAAGATATATGTATTAGAAACCAGACATGTGATTGCAACCATGCTGTATTGCTTCTAACCCGATACTGTTTGGAAGCTTTACACCAGCAGAGTTTTATTTTAAGAATTTTAACACCTCATTGATTTTTCCCCATCTTGTGCTAGCTTTTCACCCCCCCATCTTTTGGTCTCCTCTACTCTATTGATTTTGTGAATTTGTACTCACTTGTTATAAAGAAACTTGAAATTTTATCTGTACTGCTTAAACATATGGTAAATATATCTCATCTGAAATTTTGTAATTCTTTAAAAATTCTTTCATCTTTAGGTGGCTAATGCAGCTTATGGTGGAGATTATGTCTTATCACTTGATATTCTTAGGAGAGTAAGATCTGCTGATGGACTAGTCATTGGAATAATCCTGAAACCTTTCTGCTTTGAAGGACGACGGCGGCAGGATGAGGTAGATCCGAGCATTAACTAGAAATATGAATGAAAACTTTAAACAAACTACATGTTGATATTGCTCCATTTTCTTTGTTGTTTGCTCATAGTGATTTATGCCCAATACAAATACACTAAGGCTCCGGTCATCACTTTTTTAGTCCCTATAAATATTTGTCGAAATTCATAACAATAATCCTTACTTTCAGGGATTCTATAATGATAATCCTTACCGAGAGTGTTCATAAGAATAATCCAAACAATCAAAGCTATCCACAAGAATAAATTGAGGTGAATTCAAACTACTACCTGTTTAATACTCCCAACCCCTACCCCCACTTTCCCCTTCACCACTCTTCATTTCGGGTAACACTTCTATCTTCCAACCTATAGAAATAACCACATATGATAGGACATTGAGATTAAACGGGCATTGGTTTGAATTCATCCTGAGAAGGAGAGAAGGAGAGCTGGGAAGGGAAATTGGGAGTAGGGGTTGAGAGTATTAAATGAGCATTCACTCCAATTTTTTCTATTAAACATCATTGCTAGTTCGGATTATTTTTATGAACAATCTCAATAGGGTTTATTATTGTAGAATCCTTGAAAGTAAGGATTATTCTTATGAATTTCACCTAAATATTTTGTTTACATCAACTTTTATCAGAAGGGATGGACATCACCAAATGCATCTGGCTATCTCCTGGTCTAACCTTCGAAATGTAGTGGATTTTACTAAATTATCTTGATGACCGGTATTGTGAGTGAACTAAGTGATTGTTAAGTTGGTCAATCCAATCCTTTTATTTACTTTTTGTTTATCTCCTACTGTTAAATGTATTTAGTTATCTCCTACTGTGACCATGAATCTACATCATTAGACATTACTGCATTATTTTGATAGCTTATCATGTCTGCAGATGAATGATTTGGTTGATGAGCTACAAAAGCAAGCTAATTTTTGTATAGGTAAGTTAACATGTCACCACATATACCACCAGTTGGGTATTCAAACTAGTCAATCTTGAACCTTGATGCATGGTTATTTTGCTGGCCAGTTTTCTGAATTGTGCTCATCAATTCTATATTTTAATCACTCATTCACATTGTCTGCACGTGTGGTGTGATCAACAAGATTGTTCATGATCATATTTTCAATATTACACTGGTGCAGAATTTGAGATGGCTTGAGTTCTGAATGTGTGGTCATCTTGCCTTGTAGTTATTGATACTGATGCACTTCTAGCAAAAGATCTTCTAACTCTGGATGAGGCTCTGAAAACATCAAACAAGGCAGTTTTGATGGCTGCAAATGCTATATCTGCTCTTGTATCTGTAAGATAATCTTGACCTTTCCCTAAACCTTAGGTGCCTCTTTCCACTTTACAATATTAGATCCCATGAAGTTATTCGTTTATCTATCTATTGCTTAACCTATGATTTGTACAGGATAGTTTCACACGGTATCGAAATTTACCAAATAATTGCTGTGAACTACTCGAAATGCCACAGCTATCAAATGTAAATATTTCAATTTCACCATCTTATGTTTCTTAATTCGCCCTGCCATATATTTTTTGTGTGTAAAAGCAGTATATTTGTGTATAAATGTATAACAGAAGCTTTTATTACCTATTGTACATCTGATTGTCTGTTACAGATTCTTAAGGGCTATAGAGAAGCTAAAATTGGATATGGTGTTGGCTATGACATCAAAACCTCTATTATGCGAGCTGCATATGACTGCCCCTTCCTTGGAGTGTCTTTACAGGTGTCTGATATTTTAATGCAGAGAAATCTTTTTTTGTTCTTTTCGGTGACGTTGCACTCGAAGCATAAAAACTAGACATGATAGAATAAAGCAAAAGCATTAAACGCTTTTTTTAATTTTCACAATTACATAACAATACATACATGTCAGGAAATAATTTCTATCAATTATGTCATTCACCATCTCTTATGGTTCCACTCTTGAGCTCCTTGTTCTCTGACATATTATTTCTTAGGAATCAGATGGTGTGATTTTATGTGTTATTGCAAGTTCCAGTGCACTTGATTCTCATGATGTGAACATCATCTGCCAAATGTTTCGGCAAACAACTGGATGGAAGAGGGAACTTGTAGTATCAATTATTCATGAAGCCAACATGGATGCAAATTTGATACTGACTACTCTAATTATGTGTGGGTAAGAACTATTTTTCCCCGAAGGTGTTCCATTCATAGAATTAAAAATACCTGTACTACTCTTAAGGTTGCTAATGCCTTTCCTTAGCTAGCGATTGGCCTGAGTGGTCATGAAAATTTGTTATTTTGTTGATGAAAGTGGTGCAATTAGTACTGAATAGTCAAAGACAAACTTATGAAATGTTAAAGCATGTTAGATGTTACACCAACGTGGCTGCTAAGATGATACTGACTACCGTAATTATGTCTTGGTAAGATATAAAATCTAACTTATTTAAGAAGATGTTCCATTCCAAGATTTTAGAATAGCTGTACTACTTTTGTGTTTGCTAATGCCTCTTCTAAGTTAATGATTAACCTGAGTGGCCTGGAAAACTTAGTTTTTTCACTTGTTGATGATTGATGAAAATGGTGTAAATAGTAATCAAAGACAAACCTGTTGGACATTAGAGCAACTTAGATAATAGATACTACTCTAACTCTAAGTAGTTAGTATGATGGAAATATGGGTTTAATTTTTTTGTGCACACTTGAGACAATTTGCAGTCTTTGATCTAAGATAGTAAGCCATGTGTATTCCAAACACTGTCTTTTCAAATTCTGATCTTAATGTATGCATGATCAGGTGCATTGTGCAGCAACCATCATACAGGAATAGCTTACTTTTTAGATTGGCCCAACATTTCCCCTTCATTTCTAATTTCTTCAAGAAGCCTGATCCTCCTTGTTCTGCTAAAATGTCTTATATGGATTCCGTGGATGGTATGAGGCCCATTCAATGCAAGGCTGAGGATGTACCATTTTATGGTAAGGAACTACAAGACCTATCTCACATCACGGGTGAAGAAAAACTTCTCTCAATGTAATACTCTTTCAACCCACTTGAAATCACTTCGGCCTTGTGGCTCATTTATGCATAGACCATTTCATTTTTTCAGGGAATAACCTTGTTGCTTTGTACTCTATAGGGGTTGTGAAAGCGGTCCTGTGCAAAGCAAAGTTGCATTCTCTGCAACTGACTTTTCTGTCATTCATGATGTAATCAATACTGAAGGTATACTTCTTTATTAATTGGTGGCTTTGAATGATAATAATTAACAATGATGCTGTCGGCTTACCTGAAAACACTCCTCGTCAATATTAACTGACGTGGTCTATTATTGGCTAAAGTCTGGGAAGTCACTAGCTGTCTATATGACTGTTCATGCAATTATGATGCTACCATTGAGAATTTGCTCATAAAACGAAGAGAAACTTAAAAATTATTAAGATATCTGTGTGTGTTAATCTCAAACCGCATATTTTAGCTAACGATATTATGACCATTTTAGCTAACAATATTATGACTTTATTTGATAAAGCTTATATGAGAGCCTATACCTTATTTTAATCTATTCTTGTAATTAATTTTTCAGCTCTTGTTGGTAAGCATACTAGATCATTAAATACTCTGTATTATCTTATGTTCAAATATTCTCTAGCATTACAAAAGCTGCAGACTTACCATTTGTTTCCATCTACAAGCCTTTCATGTTTAAAACACTGCATGTGGAGGCTTAATTTTCTATAGAAGTTTTTTAATGAGAAAGTTGTGTGGTTCAGTCAATTTTTGTTTCTTCTGGATAAATTTTAACCGTACAATTTCACTTTTCTTAACAAGTCTGCCCAGTCAAAGGGCAGCCTTTTTCAGGAGTGGAGTAACTTTTTGTTTTTCCTGTTGTGTCTCATCTAATAAAGAATCAATCAACGATGATCCTCTGACTATTGACTTTACACCAGCTTCAATTCACTATGGGAAACATCAAATAGGTGTTTAATATGGTGATAAATTGATAGGAATCAGGCCCATTAGCCTAATAATAGAAAAAAAAATATTAATTAGTGTACATGTAGTATAAATAGAAGGGGAGGGAGGAAAAAAGGTAGGCTGTTTGTTAGTTAGAACTGGATTGGGAAGATTGAGAGTGACTGCTCTTCTCTCTTTGGGCTACGGCTGAACTTGTAATCACCATTAATGAAATCTTGAAGTTGTTCTTGAAATTCTATTCCTTCTTTTCTGTAAAATCTACATACCTGCGTATACTCTATCATAAATATGTAAAGTTAAACCACTGTGCCTTAAAATCTCCGAGTTGTTACTTGTTACTTTACTATTCCTACAAAGATGATTTAATTTCACAAATTTTCCCTGAGCTGTAACCTCATTGACACTTACCATAACATAGGATGGAAGCTGGTACAAAATCAATAGTCAAAGAGCCATTTTGGTCTATTTTATAGTTGGCAAAAATGTCAAATGCTGAGAGGTCATCTCTGCATACACACTAGCTTTCAGCTTCTAGAGTTTAGTTTTTTAAACTTCAAATAGGTATGATCTTGTGTGGGAAACCACAGCATTCCCATTAATCACAAAGCAAATATTAAATTAAGTGTCTTATATTTGAGACCAAATATTTTATTGTAAGACCAAAATTTTCATACTGCATCCCCACTCATCTGTTCATGTGCAATACCTGAAAAACATCTCTGTGCATGCTGAGACATGGCTATGAATGCAGCGCAAGACATCAAGATTAGCATTAGCTATAACATTACACTGCTGTTTCTCTTTCAATGATAATCATATGAAAGATTATTTGCTTGTGGATCTAACTGCCAAAGAAAAATGGCGACAGAGGTAGTCATTAAGGTACGAAGTAGGTGTAATGAAACAATGAAGTACCAGTAAGAATAGGGTAGAGAGGTGATGGGACTTGCTGCTCGGTGTAGTGTAAATGATTGTATTGTAGCATGGGTTATTCAAAAGATGTTGTATATGCATTTAGAATGCAATATAGGCAAAGGAAGGTTACAGAAGGCAAGTCCATTAGGAAACAGATGACCTTGCTATGTTGAACATAGTACGCAATTGTCAGAGAGCATTTAACATGAAAATTGTTGAAAGCATACCGTTCAACTTCCCAGGTAGTGGTAACAACATTGTAATTATGAGAACTTGGAGTGAGTAGAGCTTCAGAGCACTGAACTGAGTGATTTATTTGCAGAACAGAACTCCTGATTGCAATTCTACTTTTGCAGGAGGTGTTCCAACTTTCAGAAGAGAGCTACTTACAAGGCAAAACCTGCATCCTGGATTTGAAACCAGACAAGGCGGCGTGAAAGAAGGCACTGATGACCTGGAAACCTATGAATCTGACGTTAGCAGAACATTCAGACTCCCAGTGGGTGTAAAACAATTAGAGCAATCAAAAAATGGTTCAACTGCCTCAAACTCCTTAAATTGGACAGAATGGACGATTGATGAAATTAAAAGGGCACAAACTCCGGATGATAAGGGCCTCATGCCTTGGTGTAGAATGAACCCTGACAGTGAGTCTATGTTGGAAGTGGATAACCATGCATCAATAGTAACACAAGGCGATCAGAACAATTTTTCAAAGGACAAGGGAGTTCTTTCAGTTCGTGCAGCCTCAATGCTGGTTGGTATATAGGTTTTATTCCAAGGGATAAAACCTGAGTATAATTATAAAAATCTGAGTTTCTTTCCTTCATTGAGCAAACACTTTCAAGAGAAACATGCTTTCTTTGAAATGTTACACTGTAGTACAGTCAGCTGATTCAGTACAGACTAATTTGTATTCCCATCATATTTTCTCAGGGATGATAATGCACACAAGAAAGGCACAAAAGTGCAGAAAAGAGCAATATGTTATACTGTTTATTATATTATTTGTTTGATTCGACCATGGTTCACATTTATTTGGACTCTTGTCTTATTTTTGGAATTTGGTTCTTTCAATGTAGTGCTCTTTTGTAAGTGTACTTTTCCTCAAGTGAAGTAAAAAAGCAATCATACCTTCTCTTTTCAGGAATCTGAACGAGATACACAGAAGAAGTGGACTCCTGTAGTTGAAATAAAGTACAGGGGAGGCATATACAGAGGACGCATCCAAGGAGGACTTCCTGAAGGAAAGGTACTTGAGTCTTGCTGAAAATGTATTGCTGAGGTATCTTTTTATTTTTGATGGAGTGTATTCATATCAAAAGGCTACTACTTGTGTAGGGACGTCTGTCTCTTAAAGATGGAAGCTTATATAATGGCATGTGGCGCTATGGAAGGAAGTCAGGGCTTGGCACAATGTACTTTAGTAATGGTGATATCTACCGCGGTTCATGGAGGGATGATTTGATGCACGGGAAGGTAGCAATGCTTTTGTCCGCTAATTACATGCGAATTTTACCTGAATACCATAATCAGTCTGTGTCCTCTGTCAGAACGACTGCTGCTAACCTTAGTTTTTCATTCAACTACACTTAATTGCTTATCATTTCATTTATGCGTTTTCCCCTTAGTTATGTCATCAAGAACATCTCATCAATGCAAATGATATAGCCTGCCCCATGGCCCCACCTCACCTCCACTAAAAGAACACATTCTTTTCATCCAAAAAAAAAAAAAAAGAACACATTCATTCGCATGTAGGGAATTCACACGTTACTTTCTTAAAGGTTTAGTTTAGATTTTTTATTACATAATTGCATGTAGGGATGGGTTTACTTTCATACTGGGGATCGCTGGTTTGTGGACTTCTGGAAGGGAAAAGCAAATGGAGAAGGGCGTTTTTATTGTAAGAATGGTGATGTATCATTTGGCCACTTCAAAGATGGATGGCGGCATGGTCAGTTTCTTAATTTAATCATTGATGGAACAAGGTATGTTATGTGTTAATTTACCATTAATGTTCTACATTCCCCGATACTCCATGCAGCTAAATATATATAGTAAATCTTCAATAGTTATATAAGAAATACGAGTTCTCAAGCAAACACTTTTCTCAATAAAACAACTTTTAATGAAGTTGCATTAGTGTAGCTAAAATGTCATATTCTGAAGTGAATGGAATTTTATCATTTAGGAAATTTAATATCAATTTCCATCATTTGCAATGGAGCCAAAGATTCACCATTTTTTTGCTTGGGAATATGATGGAATAAAACAAAATGACTCACTAAACTGTCTGCGCTTCTTTATTATAAAGCAGCAGTCAGTCCATGCAATTTTCGACACGATTTTCACCACGGGTCATCCGGAAACAATCTCTCCGTGCTTTAGTACAGGGGTAAGGCTACGTACATCTAACTCCCCTTACCCCACAGTAGGTGGGAGCCTTTGCAACACAGGGGTAATGATGATTATGATGATGATGAGGAAATTTAAGATCACAACTCTGAATTAAAGTATAATCGTGGGTTGACTCGGGGATGAGTAATGGTCTAAGCGCATTTGGATTAGGGTTACAATTACAATAACTAACCCCCCACTGGAGCATATGAGGGGTTAGTTACCAACTTGTTACCAAAATAATAATCAACCCGAACCTAGTTTAGAGTTTTGGTGAATAAACACCCTAGCTGTTCTTCTGCCTTCACATATAATGTATACATTCTTTGAATTCAGTTTCATTTAGTAGTTGATGTAACTTCTCACATGGGGATTATGTAACCTCTCAAGATGCCACATTTTATTTCTCACTCTACTATGAAACAAAAAAAAATCCACAAATAAAGAAATAGTAATCGGCTGTATTCCGTAGATCTTTGATCATCATTGGATCCATTCTAAACAGCCAAAACCACCTCTAATAAAGTTAAGTTTAGTGTAACTCAAGTGGCTGAGGAAAGTAACTTGTGGCATGTCCAAGAGTCAAATCCTAAGTGGAGCATTGATACTTAGAGCCCGTTTGGTAACATTTGAAATTGGCTGTATCGGTTGATTCTGCTGAAATTTATGAAGTTCTGACATAAATGACTGGATTGGCTTATTCTGCTGATTTATTAAAAAAAATTTAAAATATTTTTTATTAATAAAATACAGAAAAAATTATATGAAAAATAGCTAAAATGATCATCTACAATAACTTCAGCCATTACAGTCAGAAAAGTAACTCCAACCTTACTTTTTCTTATTATTAAACAATTCAGATTATTACACAATTCAGCGCGCGAAATCAAAAGTTACGTGTTTGGTGAAAAACTTGGCCGATAAGCCGAAAAACAGGGTCACCAAACGAGCTCTTAGTGTGGGCAGAGGAATTGGATTGGGGTAAGAGAGAACAGATAATTTGATGCACATACAGACATACTGATGCTGAGATAACTCAAGTTTGTGGAACTTCTCAAAATGACTTTTTCATATGCTTCTTACAGTGTAAGGGATATGTGAAGCTGCCTCGGGTTACTATTAATTGATGTGATAATCAGTGGGAGAAACATCACAAACCTGAGGGTGGCTTTATAAAAAAATTCCCCAACCTATTTATTAAGGACACCCCTTTTTATGCAATTAAGGACCTATTTGGGATTGCTTTTGCGATGAAAATACCGCATTCTGTGCCCCAAAGTAATCCTAAATAAACTACCCTGTATAGTTTACCTAAACTTTGTTTTGAAATGCCAAACACCACGGCAAGTTTGTAAGGCAACATTCAACCCAAGATAACTTTTGCATGACTATTACATAGTAGTATTTTTATTTCAACTTCCAGAGTAGTTTTTTCAACTTCAATATCAAAAGCTTATAGCTCTAATAAGCACATTTCCACTGCAATTCCAAAAAGAACTTTTAGGTCCTGTTTGGTTGGAGGGTTTCGGAGGGGAGGGAAGGAAAGTGGGGGACTTGTGTGTGTTTGGTTGAAGGAAATAGGGGGGAAGGAGAGGAAAGTGGGAGGCTTTTAAAATCCTCCACTTCCTCTCATTCTAAACCTCTCAAATCGGGGTATTTCGGAGGAAACGTGTTGATAACCACAAACTATACATCTCCTACGTGAATGAACAAAATGTTATAATATAAAAAGGTAAAAAACAAAAAGTTTTGAAAAATTAAAAAATTAAAAAATTTAAAGATTAAAAAATTTAACGATTAAAAATTTTAAAAATTAGAAAATTTAAAAATTATTAATTAAAAATTTTATAAATTATAAATAAAAAAACTTATAAAATAAAAATAAAAATTAAAAATTCCAAACTTAAAAATGAAAAATTATAAAATTAAAAAGTAAAAAATCAAATAAAATAAAATTACGACTCATGACCATAAGAGTAATATTCACAATAGTTAGACATGTATCTATTTTTTAAAGTAAACTATCAAATAAAAGCAAATTGCGAAAATATTTTCATTAAACATTTCCTCCTATTTCTTCCAACAAAACACAATTTTTTTCCAAAATCCTTCCTTCCCCTTCTCTTCCTTTCCCTCCTTGACTCACCCCTCCCCTCCTTTGAACCAAACAAGGCATTAAGGAGTGCTTTATGAAACCGTGATATCCACTGCAATCCCATACTTGGACTGAAAGTGCTGTCTCGTAGTTGTTCATATATACATCTTCCTCCATTGTTTATTATACACGTGTATTTTCTTCTATGCTGTGTGGATTTAAAAAATAAAATAAAAAAACTCTCGTGGTGTTAACTGTTAAGTGATCTGTGTGTGCTATATAGGTATCTTGAGATATGGGATGAAGGCGTCCTTACAAGCAGGGAGGTTTCGGATTCTGATGATATGGCTGCTGCATAGAATTTGCTTATGACCATTATGTATTTGTAAATATGTGTATTGCGATTCCAATAGCTAGATGGTGAATTCATATAATTAGCACCGAAAGGCCAGGAGCCAATGAGGGAGGTGGATTCGGTGGAATGGTGGAGTTTATTCTGTGGCATATTTATTTTAATTGTATAGTAATATAATAATCGTGCAGTATTCATTATAAAGTACTTCATACTCCTAATTTCAAAATGCTACTCATATATTAATCGTATATATACAACAAGGCCAGGGGCTAGAGAATAGTAAACAAGTTGGTAAAAAGCTAGCCAATTCAAAAAAATAATTCAAACCGATCCGAAAAATCAAAAGACAAAGAAGGTTTGGAGGTTGTTTTGATGAGATGCACACTCATTTTTTTTTATTTTTCGGACACATTTTAAAATTAGAGTTACTATTTCGGAAAAATGATATTATTGAATTTATTTTAAAAAAATAATCTAAACAGATCCGGAAAATCAAAAGATCAAGATGAATTCGAGCCTTCGAGGTCATCTTGATGAGGTGCACAATTTAATATTTTTCTTTTAATTTTTTGGACAAAGTTGAAAATCAGAGTTACTGTTCATCGTCTTTCTCTGACGTTTTTAACGACGTTAGGTGCCAGGATCTTGAGATAACGGAGTTTAAGAACATGATCGACTTTGTTAAGAAATGAAGTTTGTGTTTTACGTAAGTTTGTTAAACTCATATATGTAAATTTCTTATTTTTATAAAAGCAAGAAACTTTTTATAACTTTTATTTTGAAGGTGGTATAACTTTTATATAGATTAATTAATTTAATGTTTTTAGGCAATCGTATATGGATTACAAATTCAAAACTCGTTTTGTGACCTTGTTTTGTGACTTATTAGCTTTCTCAGTCAATGTTTCACCAAAACGTAATTTTTATTTTTTGTGGGGTGATTGTGTAGTAATCAAAGTAAGTAAAGTTGAAGTTACTTTTCTAGCTGAATTTGTTGAAGTTACCACGAAATCGGAGTTACTGTTCACCGTCTTCCTCTGGCGATTTCCAACGGTGTCATTGTTCAAGACCATCTTGAGATAATGGAGTTTAAACACACGATTCATTTTGTTAAAAAATGAAACACATGATCCTATGTGAAAACGAATCTAATCACATATACTTTTTTGTACTTTTCTCAAAGAAATTGTAAAATAGAATAATATGACATTATGACAAATTGACAATATTTACTATTATCGTGTAATCAAGACTAACAAACGATTGCAGTACTAATGTTGGGCCCGGAGATGGTGTCTTGCGATTGGCCCAATGAATTAAGATTGTACGAAGGGAAAAGGGGGCAAAAAGCCCCCTGAAGTTGTCACTAAAGTGCAACTATGCCCTCAAACTATTTTTTTGTGCAAAAAACTTTAAAATCCTTGAAAAGAGAGCAATTAGCCCCTTTGTTGAATGGTGAAGAGCTAACATGTATGTACCGTTAATATTAAAATGACATGGACTATTTTTAGTATAAATTAATAAAATAGTGGGGTAAATCCGCTTGATACTCTAAACTGATTAGCACCGATTTTTCTTCAAGCTACCGAAATTAAATTCCTTCAATTCCTGGTTTCTTCTGGCATAAGCCGCCTTCCTCCCCTCTCTACATAGGAATATAGTTCATTAAATCTTGGGATACAGCTTGTAAGTTTCATCGTAAGAAGCTCAGGTTCAAACTCTATCATCTCATTTTCCTTTCCTTCTTTTCCCAAGGGTATCAAGTTGTATATCCTTTTACTTTTGAACATCGAATATACATATCGAGGAATGATCATGTTGAGTCGGACGGACAGGGCATTCCGTCCGGCCGACGCCATTTGAGGTGGTCCTGATGGGATTTTTTTTATTAAAAGTTTTTGAGCATGTTCATCATCAAGTCTAGTTTATTTTAAAAAAAATTCAGCTAAAATTCGATCGGGAAGACAATCAAATAATTTTTTGATGATAACCGCGCCAAATTATACATATAAAATGCAGTTATTTTCAAAAATTTATTTGACTACCTTCCCGATCTAATTTTTAGCTGAAATCTTTTGTGAATAAACTATACTTGATGAGCAACATGCTAAAAAACATTCAATAAAAAATTCCAATGGAAACCGCCCCAAATGTCGACAACCGAACGGAGTATCTTGTCCCTCCGGCAGGACAAGATCTTTTCCGTATACATATATATGTGTGTTTGTCTAAATTATATATGTACTGTATGTATATTTGTTTATGTAGGTCATATTTCATTTTTTTTTACTTTAGTCCAAAGTTCACCAAATTTTTGTTTAGGTGTGGTATATATAGCATATAGTTCATAGTAATTAATGGATTTGCAAAAATTAGCTTGTGATATTTAAATTCTTTTTTCTTATTGTTTAATGGCTCTTTTAGGTATTCTGCAAATTTTTAATGGTTCCCTAGAGTCTTCATTGAAATTAATATTTCGAATTAAAATTTGGGTTGTCTCTTATGCTGAAAAGTTAGCTACCTTCTTAAACGGCTAGATTTTAAGGTTTGGAAAATTTTCAGTCTCAAGCATCGAGAGGTATCATAAATTCATAATAATCCTGCTTGTTAGTTTTGTGCAACTTTTTCTTCTAATTCTAAAATAGGTTTTTATAGTGTTTTTTTAATTACTTGCAACCTTTTTAACATATTTATTGTATGTACGGCACGTCCTTAGTAGTCAAAGGAGTAACTTTAACAACTATCAATTCTATTAAATTAATTCTGTTAGTAAAAGGGGGTGATTGCCCTCCTTTTCAAAGATTTTAAAGTTTTTTGCACAAAAAATAGTTTAAGGGCATAGTTGCACTTTAGTGACAACTTCAGGGGCTTTTTGAAAAGCCCCCTTTCCCTTGTACGAATAAAAGATTACTCGTATATCGCTTGTTTTTGAATGATCTTTACATTTGATATTCTAAGCTCTGTTTCCCTTCATCTTGCAACTGCCTTCAGTATTTGAGTTTTTGGATTGCATCTTCACTTGGTTGACTCCATCAGTCCTTATCCCTTCTCGAGTATATCTTCCTTTCAATCATGGACTGTTTATCTCATCCGAGCATGTTAACCCATCAGCCCTTTTGCAAGACCAATTCTTGGGCCCAACAGCTACTCAAGTGGAGGTGCCAGCTTCGTCGATGAAGATGATAGCTACGCAGGAAGAGATGGTGGAGGCGAGGGTTCCTCTGGCATACCGAGACCAATGCGCTCACCTTCTGATTCCTCTCAACAAGTGACGCCAGGCCGAGCTTTATTTTTCATGGAAGTGCGACAACGAGCGCCACTCCTGTGAAAAGTGCGAGAACAAGCGCCACTCCTATGAAAAGTGCGAATACGAGCTCGTAATGGAGAGGATGCTTCAGATGCAGAGGATCAGCCACTATGAGGAGGTCTGCCCACTGTTCAATTCTCTCTATCTAGTTCTCCTCTCTAATATTTTTAGTAGCCTTTAAACACAATCTATTGGCTTCGCTGAATTGGTTGGCGCTTGGCAATTCCTTTCAAGCTGTTTAGTTAAACTACCTGATATACTACATTTAAGATTGAGAAAATTGCATATATGGTTCCTCAGTTATACACTAAATTAAAATTTAAGACATTTATTCCTGTGATCGTAAATGTCACCCCTCAATTGTAAATCTAGATGGCTGTATTTCTGAGATCGTAAATGTCACCCTCAATTGTCTAAAATGCCATAAATGCGATCCTTTTTTAGGGGTGAAATATACAACGTGGACGAGAGTACATTTCACCGCTTAAAGGACCACATTTACAACAATTTGGACAATTGAGGGGTGACTTTTACAATCTCAGAAATGCAGGTATGAGATTTTAATTTCGTGGATAACTGAGAGATCATATATGTGATTTTCCCTTATTAAAGATTAATAACTCGAAATACCTTTGAATCTTGTGTAGCCGTTTCTCACATTTCCCGATCCAAATTCCACTTTATCATCCACTTAAGGCGAAATTCATAAGAATACTCTCTACTTTGAGAGATTCTACAATAATAATTTCTAGTGATAGTATTCATAAATATAATTTGAACTACCAATGGTTTTCACGGGAATAAATCTGAGTGAATTTAAAGTAACGACCGTTTACTACTCTCAGCCCTTACTCTCACTTTCCCGTGTGAATTCAAACTAATGCCCATTTAATCTCAACGCCATTTTCATCATATAAGATTTTCTCTAGCTTAAAAGATAGAGTGTTGCCTGAGATGAAGAATAATGAAGGACAAGTGGAGGTAGGAGTTGAGAGTATCAAACGAATATTAGTTTGAATCCACCCTGATTTATTTTTGTAGACACCATTGCTAGTTTGGATTATTTTTATGAACACTCTAAAAGTATGAATTATTACTGTAGAATCCCTGAAAGTATAGATTATTCTTATGAATTTCGCCTTCACTTAAACAGTGAAAAAGCTGAGTTGTTGGTTATGGTTTTATTTAATTTTAGCACCTTGCTTTAGAATACAATCAATTTTTGTTCAAATGCCTTCTAGTTCCATCAATTATATGTTTATTAATACCATTCGTGAAAGAACTTGGCCTAGACATTTGATTCCAATCTTTAACTATATTCATCTGAATGAATCAGAGGTACTGAAAACTATAGTCGTGAATGAAGATCGAGCATTTGAATAATAGCTCGGTGTAAAAATGTTATTCATCGGACTGTTTTGTACAGAGTATAATAAAATTATCATTTGTTAATGAGGTCCCACCAACTTTGATTATTGTATGATGCTCGGATCTTCACTGCATACATCTGCTTCCTTTACTGGATAGTTTTACTGGCGTGTAAGGCCTAAGGGTTGATATATTTATATAGATGAAATAGAATATCGATCTCGAGAAGGAAGCTCTCATTTTCATGTTTTTGGAGATAGAGCCATAGATGTTTTTGTTTTGGTTTGGTTGTCGGGTTTGGAGTCATTGTATGTAAAAAATGCGTAGGACCTCTTCAAGTACTTGGGGCAAAGTCTCACTCGCTATATATGATATGAGTTGTCCGGCCGGTGGTGGGAGGCGGATGGGGTCTCCTTTTTTTGGTGTGGAGGCATCTACTTTCATCAACATCAATTTATGTGGTTAGTGGTTGCACATCTTAGTGATTTGTGAGCTGATCTTTGGTTATCTTT